ATTCTCTAGTTGACCCAAAATCACATGGAAATATATTTTAGCTAGTCTATAAGATCCTTCAGTCCCTTTATCTACAGCATTTACATTTGATAAGACCTTGTTGTGATAAACCAGCATATTCATTGCTGCTAGAGCCCTTGCAGCACTGGAATTTGAATAGGCATAGCAGCCTGTTAAAAAAGCAAGGAGATCTTAGTGAAAAGAGGATGTGAGGAGGGCAGGGCCAAGAAAGAAATGTAAGCATGCTTGCACGTAGCTGAGAATAGAGGGAACTCAGAAGAAACAGTAGCTAAAAGTGCCAGAGTCTTCATGCAGAGGCCGTTGGCGCCGCTCAGCTCATTGCCATGGGCTATACAAAACCTTGCTGTAAGCACTGGTGCTTTTACCGTACCTCTTACTATGACAAATTTCATTTCCCTTTTTCATTTCCCTCCTTAGCCCTGGCCTGATCACCATCTTGGTTCCTCTTTAATTATTCTCAGTGATGCAGGTTTATGATATGCATCTCTTACCACATTTGATATTGCTTCTCACATCACTGCAATCCCCATGAATGCTTCGTTTGGCCAAGGGCCTGTCTTCCCTTTCTTTGCTTTTACAACTGGTGGGTAAGCACTCTGCTCTCTGGTTCTTTTCAATTCCTGCTAGTCTGTTTCCTGTCTTCTTCACCTGCCCGACTTTGCAGTGGTCAAAATGGCTGGCTGAATTTCCTCTCCAACACAATTGGCAGCCTCTTGAGTAAGTCATTGTTTTTTTAATTTTTCCTCTCAGGAACAAGAGGTCAATTTTGTTCCCAGATAGGAAGCTTTTCCCCGTGAGTGTTCCTCCTGTTGTCTCCCCATACTAGACTCTTGCTTCACCCAGGTATCATCTCTCTTGTCTGTCTGCATTCCTCCTTAGGTATTTTGCTGTTTCAGCTACTCTGGGAAGCTTGCAATTCTTTCGCTTTCTCAGATGTGTTCACAAGCTGTTGCTGTTAGAACAGGTGATCTGTCTTTACCATAACTTGTAAGAGCCTTAAGGTGGCTTTCAGAAGAATTATTTTATTCCTTTCAGAAATGGAACAATTCCAGAAATGAGGCAGTAGTTCCCAACAGTGGATGTTCTCAGACCTTGATCAGTGCACTGAGGTGTTTCATATCAATGTGAGTCTCAGTCTTTTTCAACAGCATCCCCATGACTGGTGCAACATCAGTCACAAGAATTGCACTGGAATTTAATCCAGCATCTGAAGCACACAAGATAAGGCAAGGAACACTATATGCACTCCAGGAAGGAAATGCTTTCAATGTCTAAGTTGCATAGAGCATTTACCTTTAAATACACCAGATGTGTCACCTTGCATTGTAAAACTAGCAGCTCCTTTAACAAGAAACGTAGTACTTTGTAACCTTGTGACCCTTCAGTGAAAAAACTCATGTTAAAGCACTAGGGAAGCTGGGACTCTTTGCAGAAAGAGAGGTCATGGTCTTGCAGATTAGTTGGAGACTTAGATGTCACACATTGGCCTCACCTTTGAAACAAACAAACAAACAAACACAAAAAACAAGCCACAAAATAAAACGCCCTAGCAAAACAGAATCATGTATGTTAGACTCTTACAGGCAGTGTGCTTCTCTAAGAGAACAAGTACATTTCTCATGCGGATCAGGAAGTGCTTTTTAGGTGCTGTTGCACCTAAAACTGCTACTGTAGAAAACGTTTGTTTCCTTTGGCCTGAGTAGGACCTGAAGTTTCTTTGTAGAGCTGATACACTTTGAACGTGCACATACCTGCCTTGCTCTTAACTACCTGTGGCAGGAAGTCTTTCTGTTCCAGCACCATTTAAGGTATTCAGCTGTTTATCTGATGTGGCATTTTTTTAGTCTATGGATGGTGGAAATTTCCATTTTTCTTATTAAAAAGTGCTGAGGAAAAGTACTGTGTACTGCAGTACTGGGTGGTGCGGGTTTTTTTGCCTTAATATTGTCACTGAAAATATCACTGAGTACGTCGTCGTGCACAGAATTCATATTGCCAGTTCTGACTTCCCTATTTGGCATTTTTGCTCTTTCTCCTGTTCTCCCCAATGTTTAACCTCACTTTATATTCCTTTTTGATTGCTTTCTTGTTTCTCCACTCTTGCAGATCACCCTGTTTGAAAGGGAACATGGTCTCTCCTGAAGTATATGTATGCACACCCTTTCCAGTAGCAACCAGGTTTTATACTGACTTGGACTTAGTCGAATGCAGATCAGACATCTAGGAGGCCTTCTGATCATTCCATATTTTCCATGTTGCTGTCCTGTTGCTGTATTTCTTCTTTCTTACCCTCTGTGTAGATGGAACTAAAAAGATGAAGAAGATACTTCTATTTGGTTTGTACACGACAGCACTTTGGTTTATTCTTATGGTTTCTGAATGCTTTTCTCAGTTCTTCTTACGAAGTAAGAAGAAAGAAAATGCATTAGGATAATCTGGTCCCAGAATAACCAAAGCAAGCAGAGAATGTTGGGCAGATGCAGTGTCTTGGAAGAAAAGGGTTACTATATCTCTTGCATGTTTTAAGGTAACTCTATCTCTTTAACTAAAAGCCTGCAAAAGCTTTAGAGTAAATGATGTTTTCAACATTGTTTGGTCGGTCATGGTAGAGTTCATTTATGGAATGAGCTTTCTGGAACAGAGATGTGACAGTGTGACTTCTAGGAAGCTGAGTGACTCAGAACTCAGCCACTTCATCGGGTGGGTCATATGAATGGCGTAATGAAAGGTTGATTTGTCTGAGTAAATGCAGTCGCTTACTGATGTGGTAAGAAAGTCAGATCACTTGGTTACATTCTGTTTGTTTGGAAGAGTTGTGCCATTTTGGAGTCGGCTGTGATCCAAAACAGCTGTGCTGGGGATTTGCCTGGTCTCAGCCTTTGGAGAGCCCAGCTCTTAAAGCAGTTATCTCCATCCACATGGGTCAGCAACCGTAAGTTAGAACCTACTGGGAAGGCAGAGGAGCTAAGCTGGTTTGCCCTGCAGTTGTAAGTGTAGATAGGTAATATCACTAAAATGCAGTAGTATAAACCGTATCTTTCTCCAGTGTCAAGCAGGAGAAGCTTCATTGTTACAGACTGCAGCTGCTGGTATGGAAAACCCATAGAAATGAGTTTGTTCCAGTAGCAGGTCACCTAGAAGAATCTGTTAGCTGGTAGGGCTCAGTTATAGCTTGTCAGGGGAGCACTGAGGAGTGTTTGCAAAGTTTGCCATCACTGTAAACATCTTGGGAAATCGTGAGAATTTTGTAGCAGCAGAATTGGCACCTTTACAGAACTGTTGAAGAAGGGCTTTGTCTTTTGTTGTTATTAATGACTGTCACCAGAACCTAAGAACATTCTTCCAAATATCCCTTGACCTGCTAAAGCAACTGTACATTTTAACTGTTACTGGAGGATGCCAATTATTCTTATTGATCATGCAAATTCTCATTGTCTACATGGAAGTGATTCAGTTGTGATCCTGCAAAAATTTGCTTCTGGCCTGGGAAATCATATGTGCAAGTTTTTAGTTAAATAGTACCTAAAGAAACTTACTGTTGAATTGTAATTACAATACAATTTCATGCCTGCTGTATGGTGTATTAACTGCAATTAAAAAACTCTGCTTTAGCAATACGATAGAGAGCACTCTGATCCTGATTCCTCTTGCTTTATGCCTTGTAGAGAGAAATGGGAATAAATGACCATCTAAAAAGAGCTCCCAAGAGGTAGTCTGGAGAACAAGGGCATACACCACATATATATTTGTAGAAAAGGAGAGAGCATTCATGCTAAAGAATATTGTTTCAAAATAACATCTTTCCAGCAATGAGAGGGTTTCCAGAGCCCACAGCTGTCTGAGTTCAGGATCGTGTTTAGTCTCCAGGTGTACATGCAGGGGCTGAGGTCAGGCATTCAAGCCTAAGTGTTTGCACAGAATTTAAAATGGTGTCTTCATGACAAGCTGTATTGTGTATTTATGATAGAGGTGAGTTTGATGACCAATCCAGTAATGAACATGAATTGTGTTGCCATTTTCCAGGCCTACTTCATCATATGGGGAA